TGGTATTTCTTGGTCTTTTTGTCTAATCAGCTTCTGGTAATGTTGCTGGAGATCTCTACCACTCCCAATGACTTCCGGTCGCTGGTTGAGCTGTTCAGATATTGGCTTTCTTTCCTCAGAGCATGAGGGACCTGCCGATGCCATCTTGGAAGCTGGCATTTCATTTCTGTGGACACAGTTATTCTGAGGCTTCTCTGGAAACCTCAAAGATTTGGTAGCACATGTGGATAGGTCAGGACTCTGGGACATAGGGCCCTCTGACAGCCCCTCATTCTTCATTTCCCTTAGAAGACTTTCTTCACTTTGGCTAGGGTAGTGATGGGGTTCTTCTGTCGCCTCACCGTGCAGAGTGCTTTCCATTTCTGAAGGAGGTTGAGGAAGTGGAGGAGGAGGTGGGGGAGGAAGAAGAAAAGGAAGAGGAGATGATTGGGGTGGTGGTGGAGGTGTAGTGGCAATGAAAGAATTCTTAGCAAACATAGAGTTTTGCTTCAAGTAAGCTCCACTCATTTCATTTTGCTTTGAATATCCATCAGGGGTGCCACCAGGAATTTGCAGGTTGTTGCTGGAACCTAGACAGAGTTCTTCACCAGGTACCAGCTCTGTGGTTCCTTGGTGTTTACTGTTCTCTCCTGGAGAGGGACGTATCTCAAAAACGGATTTCTGTTGCTGCACCTGTTGTTCTGGCTTCTGAAGGGGATAACTACCTGGCATTGTAGCTGGTATACTGGAGTTATCAGCATTGCAGGCCTCAGGCACCACTGTAGCTGGCACTTGAGGCAGCTCAGAGTTTGAGGTCTGTGGGGAGTTGATCTGCCCTGAGGTATGGGATGAATGAGTGACCTCATAGGACAACTCATTAGTAGCCTGACTATTAATGGCATTTACGTGAGATGTAGTTCTCTGCATCACAATGGAAACACGATCTGGATAATATGGAGACAGTGTTTTTTCCAGGAGTTCACCATGTGTGTTTTCCATAGAAGAGGCAGAAACTGTAGCACCATTAGGCATTGGCACTGCCTTGTTTTTAAGATATAATACAACGTTCTTGTTTGAGTAACTAACATTTTTCCTCTCCTGCTCGTTTTGATTTTTGAATTCTGGGTTTTCAGACCCACTGCAGTTATGCCTTGCAGAGCAGGGAAAATCTGAGGTGGATTCTTCTTGAACTGTGAAGTTCACAGGCACCTTGTTACATGAATTGGAGACATTTGGTTGACTGCTGCTTTCACCTTGATTATTTCCGTCTTGGTTTCCCCTAAAGTCATCTCTTTCCCCATTGACATCTTGATCTTGCTTCGCTTTCTTGTTCTGATGGAATCCAGAGAGGGAAGGCTCACTAGATGTACGTTTTATTCCCCCATTTTGCATACACTTGGGATACTGTCTGTCTTCATGTATGAAGTCTGGGCTGACACCATTATTCTGGATTCCCTTTGTAGGGGGCATTCCATAATTGCTCTTGAATGATAACCACTTATTTTCACCATTCACTTCCGGATGAGGCCTCTCTGTTAACGGACTGCCATTCTGTAGTTTCACTGCCAATGACTCTGGCTGGCAAATGTGAGAAGGTGGTGGTATCAGGAATGGACTTAGTCTGTTGCCCTCAACATGGTTGGTTCTATCCTGTTCCATCTGGCTTGCTTCGGGGCCATCCACAAGGCTGCCCTTTAAAGGTATCCTAAAAAAGAAAACAGGAGAGGAAAGAAAAAAAAAGTCACCTAAATTTGTTAATATATATTAAATTAAATTAATAATTAATTTTATAGAATAATAATTATAAAAATAATCAAGCAATAATTTTTATATACAGTTATATAATCTATTTTCTCACTATGAGGTACCAAACCTATTGAACTCTACAACCTACCAATAGCTATTCATGGATGAATTTCCTACATCTTCCCTTTAATCTGTTGCAATCAATTCTTAGTTATTTCTAGTAGTAGGGTGGAGAGTGCAAAGACATTTAATGCAAGCAATGCAGTAAATGTTTACAGTGTCCATCAACAGTTTCAGATTATTCCCCCTCTAATGTCAGAAACATTAATGAGTAGCAGCAACAACACAGGAGGTTCAATTCTTTCATCTTTGTTCACCTGTTAGCAACAGTTAATGGTAGAGGTGTTAATTAGTAATTCAGAGTTTGGAAGGTTGAGGAAAAGGAGGGAAATAAGAAATATGAGAACTAAATAAACTACAGTTTGTATAATATGCTCCTGAATAATGGAATGTTATTTATATATTCTGTGCTCAGCTATTTCTTTCTCATGCTTTGTCATTCTCTTTCCTTTAACTAGGTTGTTTAATCATTTATATTTAAGGTTATAAACCAATAAACCTATAAACATGTTTTTAGGTTTGTTATTTCCTCCATTTATTTCTTTTGTATTAATTTTTGCCTTCTTTTCCTTTTAAGACAACACCATGTCTCTTATGCCCTGATATTTTTTTTCCAAAATTTCTCCTCACTCTCAAAGCATTTGGTTTTGAGATCTATGGATAGAAATTATATAAAATGATGTATTCTATTTCTTTGACTACAAAATGCTCCAGCAAAACCATTACTCCTATTGGGCAGAAAAACTAAGCCATAGAAAAAAAAGAGGCAGAACAAGGAGGAGACTTGTTTGTTTATGGTGCCCCCACCTTTTACTTCATGTTTGGGTAGAGAAACTTCTTTCTATCTATTTAGCTTACAAAGCTTATGTCTGGGGAAAAAAAAACATTTCCAAGAAAGGCAACTGCCACAGATTCAGGAAAATCTTCCACAATTTGGAGAATCTAAACTTTTCAATAATTAAAGGATAAAGAGGCAATGCCTTGGTGATAGGGATATGGATCTTAAAGAAGGACTGCACTTTCCAAGTAAAAGACATCAACAGAAATTCATTGGCCAACTCTGTATTTTTAATTATAGAAGTATACATAATATATGTGCTTGTTTTCTCAATGATATACTTTTTTAATACAAAGAATTAAAAGTTAGCACAACTATTCTCTATTACAGGCATTAAATAATCAAAAACTGAATTTGCAAAGACATTAACAAATTCAACATGTACATAAGAAATAAAGGTCACAAAATTTATTTTGATAGACATTTTTCAGTGTAGTGGTAATTTCAAAACTAATTTAGCTCATCAAAATAGGGATTCTTTTTATAGAGATAAACCCTGCCAGTGAATATTAATCCCATTTTTTTAGTTGTTCATGCAAGCATTTTCCTTTTACCAATTACTCATATGAACTCTTGTGGTTCATTTTTCCAAGGGAGGGTGGGAAACTCACACAAGAATCTTAGTTTCCAGGGTAAGGACTTAGAGTGCTATTTTATTAGTGTGCCAGTTCTCTGACTTAGAAGATTACATCAAGTAAGCTTGCCAATTCAAAGCGAGAAAAAGATACCTCTCTTTAACTCTCCCTTTCATTCCTTTCTCCACTCCTGCCCCTACTTCCTGCCCACTCCTCCTGAACCACTCTTCAGCTGTCTGACATCATCATCTTGGGTTCTATTTACATCCATTATTCACCGTATATTATACACATAACAAACCAAAATTTTGACTGTCTCTCGCCAATTGCTTTTCATAGAGACATTATAGCTACAAGAGCAAGAAACCCCAGTGTTTGACTTCTTCATTTTTCTTATTGTTGGAATATTAAGCAATCATTAATCCTGTTTTTTCATAGCTATTTATCCAATATTTTAAAAACAGAAAACCTCCATGTTTTACATGTAATCTCTATTTCTTTAAATACAGAGATTCAAAAGTTTTCCTCTCATATGAACTAAAATTTCTGCTTATTAAAACGATTTTCAGGACATAAAAATGTTACATTGCAAAGGCCCATGTTCCATTTAAGAGCAATAATTCTGCTTAAAACAGCAATATGAAGATTTATAATCCTAATGAACTGAAAGCTATTGCCTAAATATTCCCTTAATTTTGCTTTTGCCTTTCTAAATCTTTACCTGTGGCACAAATGCCCTATGACAGACTAATAGAATATTGTATAACACAAAAGTTCACCCACTACTGACAGAATTGGAGTTAACAGGGTCATTTACAAATGCAAATAAATTATAAAAAGGAAACAGATTGTTGAAATGTTAAACTAAATGTAGTTTAGTATAAATAGTATGAGTTTAATATAAAACAAAGTATATATTTTTGAGATGGAAACATTCTTGAATGACATTACTTTTACTTCTCATAAAAAGAAGATAGAAGCATGGTTCTTCATTTTTAATTTTGTAGGCTTCTAAGGTTAAGCAGGCTGTAATTTCACAAGTGTCTAGTATACTGCCACTACACCAGGAAGATGATCATATTTTGGAATTCCCTACAGGTATTTTTTTTGTCAGTTGCAGAGTGGGATTATTTATGCTCTTCTAATTTTATTTTCTACACTGACGAACACCTAATTTATACAACATGCAGTGCATGTTTGAGTACTACTCCCTTGTTCAAGTGAATATTCAGAAATACTTCTCTTAAGAATAACTCTTGGGGCTTGGTACATGTGAAATTGCTCTATGCAGAATGATTAATACTGAATAAAGTTGTTTTTATTGGCATCATCTTCTAGCTGGAAAGATAATTCTATTTTGACAAATAATTCTATTTTACAATAAGAACAATAGGCATTGGCTAATTAAGACTACCCTAGTATCCATCCTTGCCTGAAACTTCTAAGTCCTGTATAAAGTTCCTGTATTTTTCCCTATTACCTGTATAAAGTTCATATGATGAATAAAATTATTTTTCCCATTGAGACTTTTGAATGATAGAAAGGTCTTCTAAAGACCTTAGGTCTTCTGGGGTAGCTTGGTGATGCAATGTATCAAATTCTAAGCCTGGGGTCAAGAAGACCCGAGTTCAAATTGGCCTCGTATACTTACTAGCTGTGTGACACTGGGCAAGTCACTTAACCTGTTTGTCTGTTTCCTCACATGTAAAATGAACCAGAGAAGGAAATGGTAAACCACTCCAGTATCTTTCCCAGATACCCCAAATGGGGTCATGAAGATTTGGACACGACTGAACAATAACAACAAAGAACGACCTGCCAATTGAAGGTATGTCTCATGGTTTATATTCCTAATAGGCTGTCATACGTGTTTTATTTTTTATTTAAAAGTACACATACAAAATTCAGTTCACTTACAAGATGGTAGGCAGGGTAGAAAGAGTGATGGATTTGGAGAGGAATTGAGTTCAAATTCCAGTTCTGTCACATTCTATGTGACTTTAGGCAAGTTATTTAACTTTTCTGGGCCCCAGTTTCCTTATTTGTAAAATAAATGGATTAGATTAGATGACTTTTAAGGTCATCTCCAGTTCTAAGGTTACTCCATCATTTTACCAGGCAAGTACCTTCTCCATTCAACCCTAATACTATCATATATAGGATAAATAGTCTTTGGATAGATCTCATTGCTACTTAGCTTCAAAGAGCTTATATTTTATTGGGACAGATGTGTCTACACATACACATACACACACACACACACACACACACACACACACACACACACACACACACATACACAGTCAACCAGGTGGTACAGTAGATTGAGTGCTATCCTTGAAGTTAAGAGGATGAGTTTAAATCATGCCTCTGGTACTAGCTTCATGACTCTGGGAAAGTCAATCAGCTTCTCTCAGCAAAGACCTTCTCTATGCAAATTCCTTTGGATAGACTTTAATACTGTCTTCCCGGCCCAATCCCCACCATGCCTGCGTTTTGCAGACCATCACTTTCATTTCCTCTCCATAGGTAACCTGGACTCAACCTCTGCACTCCTCAGCTCTGATTGGTGAGTTTTTGCTTTATCTTCCGTGGTTCCAGGCCTGCTTGTTACCATCCTTCCAAGTGTATTCCCAGCCCTTTTCAGTTCCCCTTTATGTGTTGTCTTTCCCATTAAAACGTAAGCTCATTGAGAGCAGAGATTGCCTTTCTTGCTTGTATTTGTATCCTTACTGCTTTACACAGTGCTTGACTGTCAACATTTAACGTAGTCTCTGTCTATCCATCCATCCATTCAAACAAAATTAGGAACTTAAGCCCTGCTTTGTGAAGAGGAAGATAGAACTATACTATTAACATGCTATCAACATTTATCTTCTACCATCTAGACTATTTCTTAATTTGTTATATATTTATGCATGCATGCTATGGATTTCTTGTTTAAAGCTGAACGGAAAGACTAAGGAAAGGTAGCAGATGAATTTTTTACCTTCGTGACACTACAATATTTGGGTACAGATAGATTATGGTAACACTGGTAAATATTATTCAGGAATAGAAGGAAAACCAGAACAGTGTAGCGACATCACAGAGAGCAACAACAGAAATTTTATTTGCAAAGCTTCTGTGGAATTTTCTGTCTTAAGGAGTTTCCTCCATGTTGGCATACATGGAATGTAGCTTTTTAAACCCCATCTTCTCTGTTTCTTGTTGAATTGAATTTTTAATCTAGTGACCCAACAAAAAAGTCATGAGAGACTTTGACCAAATTATGATCAAGTGAGATTTAGACTAGCATGAAGAGCAAATGAGCAGAACCAAGAGAACATTGCATATAGTAATAGCAATATTGTTTTAAGAATGACTTTGTGCAAATAAGTCATTTTGACTATTATAAATTAACTATAATTTATAATTATGTTATAAATATAATTTAATTATATTATATTAATTAATTGATTATATTGATTACAATGATTATAATTAATTAATTATATTAATTAATTGATAATTATATTGTAATTATCAAATTAACTATGAAGGACATATGAAGAAAGACACTATCTGCATCCAGAGAAAGAACTGATAAATAGAAGTATATATAGAATAATTTTACATGCATGCATGTATGCATGCATACATACATGTATGCATACATACATACACACATACTTATTTGTGTTTAATGTTAGCTGTCTCTGGTGGGGGAAGAAAAAAAGAAAAAATAAATTTACAGGATAACTTTGTTGTATATTTAAAAGGAATAGCAAATTATACATAATAGATTCATAGTTTCATGTGTAATCATCTTTTAAAAAAAAGTTATGTTATAGAAATGCTTGTTTTATTCCATAAATTAAAAATAAAATATTTTTTCCAAAAAGAAATAAAAACAGAAACTACATTAAAGCAAAAAAAAAAAAAAGAGAGAGAGACAGACAGACAGACATTGACCAAAGTAACAGTAATAGTGTTGCTTGTGTCAAGGAACCAGGATGGCCCAAGGAAAGAAAGAATTAGTACTATGGATCTTTCTATTTTCTAAAATTTAAAATCATACTTTACTATTACATATATATATATATAGATGCATATGTATATATGTCTCTCTGTATATAAATATGTATACATACACACACACACACATACACACACATACACACACCTGGGATATTCTTACTTTAGGCCCTATAACTACAGGCCTGTAATCATTAGTATGACAACATAAAGAACATGTCAGTCCACATATCTTTTAAATAGCCTATATTTCCACCTTAGTCTGGTAGATAGCTGCCCCATTTTTTCACTGTCTATGTTATCTGAACTGGAAAGTTCTACAGTAAAAAGCAAACAAAGAACTTGAAAAGATCTTAATATAAGGGTTCTTGACCTAGGGTCTATGAACTTGATTTAAAATAAAATACTTTAATAACTATGTTTCAAAATGTTAATTTCCTTTGTAATTCTATGCAATTTATTTTATGCATTTAAAAACATGATTTTGAGAAGAGGTCAGTAGGCTTTGCCATACTACCAATGGGGTCCATAACACAAAAAAGGTAATTAACCCTTATTTTAAAAGATTATCAACTTATCGGTTCTTTCTCTGGATGCAGATAGCATCTTTATTCATATATCCTTTATAGTTAATTTGGATATTTATAATAGTCAAAATTACTTATTCACCCAAAGCCATTCTTGAAGCAATATTGCTGTTACTGTATACAATGTTCTCTTGGTTCTGCTCATTTTGCTCTTCATTATTTCATGCACGTCTTTCTATGTTTTTCTAAAATCATTAAGCTCATCATTGCTTATAGCACAGTAGTATTCTGTCATAATCACATAACACAACTTGTCCAGAGAAAGAACTGATAAGACATATGTATAGAATAATTTTACAAATATATGTGTATGTGTATGCATATATATGTATACACACACACACACATACATATACAACCCTATTTGTGTCTAATGGTAACCATCTGTAGACTGAGGGTGGGGGGGGGGGGAGGGAAGGAAAAACTTAAAAAAAAAGATTATCCAATACACTTGTCTGCTTCTAGGCAAGACTATTCTTTGGGCCAGAGAGGTAGTTGTCTAGGATTTCTTCAGACTTTCAAGGATGATGATTTCTAAACACTCTCTGGTATAGTGTTTTAGGGTATCAGCCTTTTATCCAGAAAATTATCTTCTTAATATTAGCTCATTCAACAAATGTTTACTAAGAAACTATTATGGACCTACCATTGTGCTTAGGCACTCTTGGCTATGAAGAGGAAATGGTTCTTGCACTATCATATATGAATATGTTTGTGTGCACATGTACACACATACATGTATTTGAATATATACACATATATGTATATGTAGTCAGTTCTACTTAATGTGTGTTTTGAAAATGTGAATTAGTTTCAATATGTTTGATATGTTAGGGAACAATTTGAACATAACATGAATTTCCTGTTTGCTTATGTGATTTCATCCCAGATAAACAGAGTGGACACAGAAAACTGAACCCAGCTGAATGGAACTGAACAAGAATGCATAAAATGCACATAGGCACACACCTGAAATATCTAACAGTTGCCTCAGTTCAACATATGTGTGATCCCAGAGAATTTTTCATTTGTGGACTTTATTAAAAAAATTCAATGTCGCAAACATGTCTGAGTGCTGTATTATCTTGTCTTCTTGTGCAGGAGGAGCTGTGCATCTAGGAAGGCTGGTCCATATTCACACACTACTAACTCCACTCATCAAACCTCTACCTTTCTCCAAGGCTGAGCCCTGTCTCATCTCCTTGCCCCATAGCCTCAGACTTTGCCAACCTGGCCCTATGAGAACAAGGCATGGGATTAGCCTAGGCCACAGACTGTGACACTATTTATTATAGTATTTGTGTGTTTCTTAACCATTTTAACATGTATAGAACTGTGCTTCCAATTTTATTAGGCTCCTATTTTTCTTTTAGTTGTCACTAATGAAGTTTTTGAGTGTTGGGTCCCTAACCTCATTTTTCTCTGGTTTTTGTTGAGCAATTTTGCATAGTGTGATGATTTACACACACACACACACACACATCATTTTTTTTCCCCACAGAAAATGTGTTTATGTTAAAGGAATTTACAATGAAGGGATCACGAACCTTGGGATAAACATTTTAAAAAGCCTGGTCACTTTTAGGTATGTTCAAATGCTTTTTTTTTTGATAATACAAAAACTAAACTTTGAAAATCAGAATACATTAACAGAAAAAGCACAATAACTTAATTGTTTAACATCTGTGTGAATAACTTTTGCAAAGTCTGATAAAAATGCACAAGTCAATGCTATGTCACCACAAAGACAGCATTGAGCAAGGCACCATTGGAAAGACCACATACTTGGATGTGTCTCTGTAAATAAAGCAAATGCCAATCTGGTCAAAAAATCAGTGTCTTTGGAAGAATCCTGAGTCAGATCTAGCAGATCTATGTGCATATTCTCTCTCTCTCATTCTCTCATTCTCTCTCTCTCTCTCTCTCTCTCTCTCTCTCTCTCTCTCTCTCTCT